TAATCATTGTAACTTATTATTAAAAAAAATTAGACCTTGATCACAAAAGTTTATGTGAGATTTTACCAGTTTTAGTAATTTATACTCGTTTGGAAAATTTCAAAATACTACAACATATATAAAAAATCCTAAATTTTTATTATATTATTAGTGTATTTGTGTATTTTATTTTAATAATGAAAAATTAAAAAAAAATATAAAGTATGCAAATTGTTAACAAATCTTTATTAAGTTAAAATCATTAATAGTCATATATATCTTAATCACATTAGGTAATTCCGTATTTTTATTTAAGAGAACAATATATAGGAGATTTAGTTTGATATGTTCTTATATGATACCAACAGACTTTTTAAAAAAATTATGTTTTATATGAGGTGCTCTAGATTCATTCTAAATTGAAATAAAATGCATATAGAGGTGCCACGTAGGATGAAGTTATTTTTTTAATTAATACAAACTTAAGGTTACAACTTTTCAAAAGTTTCTCAGTTAATATATAGGGGATTATAATAGTTTTTTGAAATATGATTTTTTTACCAATCTATACAAGAAAACATAAAACTTATTTGAAAATTATAAAAAGTCAACCAACAATGAGTACGGGGCTCTCGACTCTACCTTTACGGAGGTAATCTTCGGACCTTGTTTTAAAATTAAATTGATATGTCTGATACCAACGGATCTTGTTTTAAAATTATGTTTTATATGAGATGCTCTAGAATCATCTTCTCTATTAAAAAAGAAGTACCAAATTTATCTATTATTTAGAAGTCATATTGGGTCATGTCATTAATTATTTAATTTAACATATTTGATTGTTACATTAACAAGTCAAATAAATATATTATTTTAAAAATATCTTAATAATTAATAAGGATATTAATAATAAATAAATTTAAATATAACAAAATCTGTTGAAAAATCTAACAAGATCTTACGAAAAATTTAAATATTTTTTATAAAAATAAATATTTCTTTATTTCGTTATTAGATATAATTATAATTGAAACTAATAAATCATATATTTAAAAGTTTTAGTTATATATTTATAAAATGAAAAATATACTCGCACGGATGTATGGGTGAAACTCTAGTTCTAGATTGAATTAGAAAGCATATAGAGATAGGTGCCACGTAGGATGTGGTTATTTTTTAATTAATACAAATTTAAAGTTACAACTTTTCAAAAGTTTCTCAATTAATATAGATTATAATAGTTTTTTGGAATATGAATTTTGTACCAATCTATACAAGAAATGAAGAAAACATAAAACTTATTTGAAAATTATAAAAAGTCAACCAACAATTAGTACGGGGTTCTTGACTCTACCTTTACGAGGGTAATCTTCAGGACGAAACCCTTTTTAAAATATCCCCACATCAGGAATCATGAGAAACCCTTTACTCATCACCGGTTACAATTCTTCAGATGACTTATACCTTATTTATACACAATATTGCCGCCGATTATTATCGATGTCGGAATGGTGAACAAATATTAAGCCCATTTTGTTACAAGAACATATGTAAAAGTCCATTACTTTAGTAGAAAGGCCCACATGAATGTTTAAAAAATAACAGTCAAGATCATGAGGTTTTCCGATCCTTATTACATTAATCTTTATTCACAGAATTGTTGGGTACAATTCTTTTAGACACTATTTCTAATTGATTGAGAATAAAATTGAAGACCTTGTGTCACTAACATTGTTAGTGAAGGAAACAAAGAGGGCAAGGATCAACATAAATAATGTTTTTGCGGAAAATTGCATTTGAAACCTTGAAGATGACACATTTTACCAGTTTAAACACCCAATTTTTTTTTACTAGCACTTTAATACTTCAAACTAGAAAAATTAGCGAAACAAACCCCGAAATCGTATGACGTGTTTTTCTCTTGATCGACTTGACGGCTCTGTTGACGATGTTGGCTCCGTTGACGATGTTGACCTGGGAAAATTGCATGTCGTTTTATTTTCAAATCGATTTGGGGATTAGGGTTCTAACAAAAGACGAGAAAGACAATTCCCGTGGAGAAGAATCCGAAGTCGATGAGCCTGAGGGAAAATAACGCAAGTTTATATCGATTCTTCACTTCTTCTACCTCGGTTTTGTCTCCTGATTCTTCACTTCTTCTATTTTGGTTTGTCTTTCGGAAACAAAAGATTCAACTTTTATCACAGGGAATCACAGAAAATCGAATTGATGATTCACTTTGGGGTTTCAATGAAGAAGATTGGTGGTGGAGATTATGAGTACTTAGGTAAATTGGGAAGCAAAAATGTGGAATGTGAGATCGATGAGATAGTGTGGGATAGGTTCGGTGATTTTTGCAGAGTAGAAGCGCTAATTAGTGCACCTGTCGGCTTGATTTGGTACAAATCAGAACATGAGGAGATGAAGGAACTACGGTATGTATATGATAGGTACGATGAGGAGATGTGTATGGTACGGTCTGCGAGCAAGTCATGGATAGAGGTTGTGGACGTGTTTGTTGAACACGAATGCTCAGAACACATACCTGGTGTGATTCAGCTTCCAAATGGCTTACAAGACGATGTAGAATGTGGTAGTAAAGAGGAAGAACACAATGAGAATGATGAGGTCGATAGACCTAAAGAAGATGATGAGGCAGAAGTATCAGAAGATGAGAATCCGGTTGAAAAGGAAGAGAACCCAATTGTGAATCCTCTTGACAATGAAGTTGTCCCTAACGAAAATCTGAATAACGAAGATGCTGGTGATGAAGTTGTTGTTGATGTAATAGATGGTGCTAATGATGTTAGGTTTCAGTCTGTCTTTGAGGAAGGAAAAAAAGTTGTGCCAGATAAAGAAGCATATGGAATTGGTATAGAGGAATAAGAGAAAGATGATGACAGTGAAGATGAGAGGGAGCCAGTAGATGTTGAATATCCAGACACACCAGTAGAGTCAGAAGATGAATGGGAAGAATGGAATTGAGAGCGTAAAGAAAAAGGGAAGCTTAAAGGGAGTGATAAGTACCATGGTGACTATGAAAAATCGTCTTACATTTGGCTATTTCAAAAGTTCAACAGTGGTTTAGAGTTTAAAGACCAGCTCTTGAAATATTCAATTAATACTCAATATGATGTGAAGATGACAAGGTCGAAATCATTCAGGATTGGAGTGATTTGTTGCAAAGAGAAATGTCCTTTCCGAATTTATTGTTCAGTGGAGAAGCCAATCAACAAGTGGATGGTGAAAATGTGTCACATGAGACACAACCATGGTAAATCAAGCATGATCTCAATGTTGAAGCAAGGTGTGATCGCTGGCCTTTTTAGAGAAGAATTACGCAGAAATGTTAATCTATTAGCTTCAGAAATCCAAGATGCTATAAAGGTAAGGTATGAAATTGTTGTACCTATATCTAAGTGCTACAGAGGAAGACACATTGCATTGGAGACAATCCTTGAAGCTCAGACAACACAGTTTGGGAAGCTATGAGATTATGTAGAAGAGCTGCGTAGATTAAATGAAGGTATAAGCACTGATTTACGCAGAAGAGAGGTTAATCGTGCTCAAATGTTTGACTACTTCTACATTTGCTTTAAAGAATTGCGTACTGCTTGGAAGAGTTGTTGTAGACCTGTTATCGGACTTGATGGATGCTTCTTGAGGTGGGATTTAAACGGAGATTTGCTTGCAGCAGTTGAGAGAGATGCTGATAATAGGATGTACCCCATTGCATGGGCAGTAGTAAGAAGAGAAAACAAAGATACTTGGGGATGGTTTGTGAGAAAGCTGAAGGCAGATCTCGGCTTGGGATTTGGGAAGGATCTAACCATAATCTCGGATAAACATAAAAACTTATTCATGCTATCGAGTTGGAACTTCCTAAGGCAGAACATCGCATGCGTGCTAGGCACATTTATACTAATTGGAATAAGCTAGGTTTCTCAAAGCCAGAGTTTAAGTCATTGTTTTGGGGAGTCGCATACAGCTACACCGAGGGAGAGTACAAAGAGAAGATGAGTTTGGTAGAGGCATACGATGTCGTGGAACACAGTGAGTTACTCAAAATAGACCCAGAGCGGTGGTGTAGAGCATTCTTCAGTGTCGAGTCCCATTGTTTTTACGTACACAACAATTTATCAGAAAGTTTCAACATAACCATAAAGATGGTGAGGGAAAAACCAGTGATCAACATGTTAGAAGACATACGTAGACAAGCAATGAAAAGAATATCTAGACGGTTCTTCATGGCTGATAAGTGGGACACCATTGTAAATCCTATTACAATGGCTTTGCTGGAGAAAGCAAGATGTGCAAAGAAGCATTGTTCAACAATACGCAGTAGTTTCAGCTTGTATGAGGTGAATGACTTTGACAGTGGTTATAGGGTGGACTTGGCTTCACATCAGTATGCTTGCAGACGATGAGATTTTACGGATATTCCTTGTAAACATGTTGTGTGTGTTCGATGACAACCATGAGGATCCTGTGAAGTATACTGCAAAATATTACTACACACATATCATGAAAAGAACTTATTCCGACAATATTAAACCTGTAAATGGTGAAAAACTGTGGAAGCAGACATACAAACCACCAATTATAATATCAAAGATAAGGAAGCCACGAGGTAGACCAAAACTCGATTTGTTTTTGTTTTTACAAGAACAAATTTTCCAATATCAAAAACATAATAGTGGTCGAAGTCTCCCAATTTTCTTACTCTGTTTTGTTTTTACAAGAGGGAGAGTTGGATCACTATTATGTTTTTGATATTGCGACTCTCTTGTGTTAGAGAAGATCAGATTTTAAATCCTATGATTCCTTTGAGGTGAAGATCCAATGTAGTGTCATAAAGCAACTTTTTAAATGTTTAATATACTGGATTTTAGTATATTTGGTGGAAGTCAATCAATTATTGGAGATTACAAAACATGTGTGTAAGACCAATTTAAAATCAGTTGAGAAATTTAGTCAGAACGCTGTTCAAAACAAAGCCTGCGTTTTGTACTCGCATCACATCATGCATTCGTTGAAACGCTGCAGCTTCGATCCTCAATTTGGTCATTTTGTTTTTGGCCACCAGCTACACTACTGGAAGATGAGCTTCCTTCTATGGAGTTGTTGTTGTTGCTATGTCTCTGAGATCTCTTCATCTTCTCTGGCCTTTGCGATGATGTATCCTATACAACATACAGTTTTATTATCTTCTGACTGATCACAAGTTCTTTTTCCAAACACTATTTTACCTTATCAGAAGTAGAACCATGAGTTTTTAACTCAAGCTGTGTCGCAACATCACTAGAGTCTTCTGCTTTCTCGGATCTACTCTCTTGAAACCTTAGTTCTAAGTCCCCCGAAACGTTATTCGGTTTCTGAGGTATACGCACATATTGTTGTTCAACGAGGGTGTTAGGAGGCATATACGGCATGTAAAGTAGTACATCATGCTAGGGTTCTGGCTCCCAAAGTACGATGGCAGTGGGATTGACCCGGGCGGCATAGCCATATATAGGCATAGGCATTGGATGTAGAAAAGATGGTGGTGGAGCCATTATGACAGTGTGATCCATCGCAGATTCCCATGGACACATTTTCTGTAGGTGTGCCAATAAGTTTGGACTATTTTCAGTTTTCGCTTTAAATTTATGCATTTATCCAAAAAAAAAGACACCTCAATAGCCAAATACTCAAATAAATTTCAACGATAGTAAAATTATAGTCGACAAGATTTACTTCCCGAATCTCATTATAAAAATCTTATTACACATGTGAAGACAGGTGCCTATAAAGGATCTATTTATTCTTCATCTTCACTCGGTCATCGAAGCAAGAACCTTCTGTATGATGCTCTTCAGCGCAGGAGCGCTAACAGAACACTTGTTACCACCTTCAAAGCACGACTTACCTTGTTCAGCTGCTTTGCAAAGTTGTGGATCCAAAGGAACTTTCCCAAGAAACGGTACTCCCATCTCCTTACACATTCTCTCCGCACCTCCTCCACTGCTGTCAAACACTTCGCTGCAAGCCAAGACGTTGAGAAGCTCCGGTGCGTTCTCTTTCAAGCAAGAGATTACCTCTTGGGTCACGTCAACGGAAGAGCCAATCTTCATGAACTTGACATCCGCTAAAGGTTGCGCCAAACCGCTCATGTTCTCCACCACTCCTAGCACAGGGACTCCCACTTTCTTGCAAAAGCTAATTTCTTTCCTGACATCGATCAACGAGACTTCCTGCGGGGTCGTGACAATGATTGCACCATCAATACCAGTGGCTTGAAGGTACTGGACGATGGAGATGTGCTCGTCCGAAGTTCCTGGTGGGGCATCGACCACGAGGTAATCGATATATTGATGAATATTCTCTTGGTATAACTTTTGATCTAAGTTATATCAAAATATTATTTTGTTTGATATAATTTTACCATTAGTAACTATACCACATTATATAACAGATCTTCTGTCTTTCAAAGTAAACAACAACATAAATTATAAATTTGTCATATAAGTAATGTGGAGTTCAATTTAAATTTATCATAATAATTTTTAAATTATAATGCATGTATAATGCATGTATTAATAAAATAAGTAACTAGAATATCATTATTCGCTGACAAAACTTATGTATATTTCGAAATTATAATATAATTTTACCATTAGTAACTATACCACATTATATAACAGATCTTCTGTCTTTCAAAGTAAACAACAACATAAATTATAAATTTGTCATATAAGTAATGTGGAGTTCAATTTAAATTTATCATAATAATTTTTAAATTATAATGCATGTATTAATAAAATAAGTAACTAGAATATCATTATTCGCTGACAAAACTTATGTATATTTCACAATTATAATATAAATTATTGCTATCTTATTATGAAATTCCATTGGTTAAAAAAAGTCAACTGAAACGAGTTTCTAGCTCATAATCCCTTCACGGAGTTAATCTTCGGTCCGGAGACCTCTCTAGACACTTCACCGTACCTAGGATTACGAACCTCTAGCTCAGCACCAGTTGACAATCTTTCAGAGGACTTATACCTTATATATATTCGACGTTGCCTTAGACTATTATCGATGTGGGATTGGGTAATAAATGTTTGGGCCCATTTTATTGCGAGAACCAAGTAAAATTCATCGCTTTGGTAGATAGGCAGAAAACTGAACGGTCAAGATCTTGAGATTTTCGATCCTTTTGCTAACATAATCTCTTACTCACAGAATTGTTGGGTACGAATTTTATTGACTTTATATCTAATTGATGGACTAACTGTTGCTGGAGGAAACAAAATAGGGCAAGGAGCATAAAGTAAAGCTTAAAATTTTACTTTGTTTTGTTTTTACAAGAGAGAGATTTGGATAACTATTATGATTTGGATATCGCGACTCTTTCTTGTGTTAGAGAAGATCAGCTTGTGCTGTTATTTAAATCCTAGGATTCCTTTTGAGGAAAAGATCCATTGTAGTGTCATAAGCAAAAATGTTGACATACTGGTTTTTTATTTAGTATATTTGGTGGAATTCAATTTATATCATTATTGGAGATTATAAAACATGTGTGTAGAACTAATCAGTAGACCCATTATAGAGTGATGAACAAACAAAAAACTAGGTTACTCCTTTTATGGAATAAACTCTATTATAGATTAATATATGAGTTTGGTTGGAGCAATCCTTCTTACTCTATATTGTCTTTTATTCAATTTTGGAAGAAAAAATAGAATTGTGATGGAGATGCCCTAACTCGGGATTTCAAGCTAGTTCTAAATCTGATGACTGTAGATTTTGAATTCCTAAGACTCTAGAGCATACCTGCTTCTTGTAAACTAAACATCTTTAGATTGTTTAGATAGCAAGTAACTAATCTCCCTGGTGAACTTACTACCTTGATGCAGTAGAGCTAGTTCAAATCAACAAAACACATTTAAATTAAAAATAATCCCTTTTGGTTATTAAAGAAGCATCCAACGGCGAAAAAAGATTCTCCGTTCTAGCGTTACATCTTTTATTTTCCGACAACATTTAATAATTCCAATTGGCCACTAAAAATCCATACTATTTTCTGCTAGGTGCCAATAAGTTTGGACTATGTTCAGTTTTCGCCTTAAATTTATGCATTCACCAAAACAACACCACAATAGCCAAATACTCAAATGAAATTCAACGATAGTAATCATAGTCAACAAGATCTAATGGCCCAATCTCATGATAAAAATCTTATTACACATGTGCCTATAACTTGCACAAAAAGCCTACACACCTTCACTGTCTTTGCACGGATCTTCCAGCCAAAAGGATCTATTTAGTTGGATTCTTCATCTTTCATCGAAGCAAGAACCTTCTGAATGATGCTCTTCAGCGCAGGTGCACTAACCGAACACTTGTTACCACCCTCAAAGCAACTCTTACCTTGCTCAGCTGCTTTGCAAAGCTGTGGATCCAAAGGAACTTTCCCAAGAAACGGCACTCCCATCTCCCTACACATCCTCTCCGCACCTCCTCCACTACTATCAAACACTTCGCTGCAAGCCAAGACGTTCAGAAGCTCCGGCGCGTTCTCTCTCAAGCAAGAGATTACCTTTTGCGTCACGTCAACGGAGGAGCCAATCTCCATGAACTTAACATCAGCCAACGGTTGAGACAAACCGCTCATGTTCTCCACCACTCCTAGCACAGGGACTCCAACTTTCTTACAAAAGCTCACTTCTTTCCTGACATCGATCAAGGAAACTTCTTGTGGGGTTGTGACAATGATCGCACCGTCGATACCAGTGGCTTGAAGGTACTGGACGATGGAGATGTGCTCGTCCGAAGTTCCTGGTGGAGCATCAACCACGAGGTAATCAATATCTCTCCAGTAAACGTCTTTCAGGAACTGTTTGATGAGAGCGTTCTTGCGGGGACCTCTCCAGACAACAGCTTCGTCAGAGTTCGGGAGCATGAATCCTATGGACATGACGCCGAGGTTGTCTGCCACGTAAACCGGAGACCATCCGAGGTTGCTCTGGTGAATCTCGGAACCTTCAAGGCCTAACATTTTAGGCATGCTTGGACCGCAGATATCTATGTCCATGAGGCCTACTTGATGGTCCATTCCCGCGAGTGCAAAGGAGAGCTGGGCAGAGAAAGTGCTCTTACCAACCCCACCTTTACCAGACAAAATCAGAATCTTGTGCTTAACAGTGCTCATCCTCTCTGCTATGGCAACCAAATCTGAAGGAAACAGAAAAAAAAAACTCAACTAGTGAACAAGTGAAGCTGAGACTTAAACAGACAATAGTATGAAACAAATCACTGTTCTAATCGTCATCACAAGATGTTACTCTCAATAGAACAATACAGACAAAAGTCCTATATAGCTCACAGATTTGAAGATGTAAGTTCTGAATTAGCCAAATAGCATTTTAGCTACTACTCTAACAGACCCAGACCCTATAATACAAACATACATAGACCAAATAACAAACAGATTTATGAATTATTAAAGTAAGAGATACAAGCTCTTGAAATATAAAAGGCATCGACTTTTATTTTCTTATCAAATATGGACTAAGGAGAAGCTATAAGAATCTTCAAACCCTAAAACGAACTTTTTTTGGATATAATCTTCAAAAAAAAAGCAGAGACATACAAAACCCTAAACCCTAATTCAAGTATAACCTAAGATCGAGAGAGAAAGTTTAAAAGAGGGGAAAAATCGTGACCTGGGTCAGGTCCTTTAGGAGCAGTGGCACATGCTTCCTGATTAGGGCAACCTGCGCAAGAATCAGACTTTCCAGCAGACTCCGATTGAGGACCTGGGCAATCTATAAACCAAAGAAGACGAAGAAATTAGGTTAAAAACAGCTCATAAGCTGAGGGGAAAAAACTGGATTGATGTTTTGCTTACGTTCATTGGCGTTCTCTGGAATATCTCCGTTCTCCATGTCGACTTTTTCTTTCTGTGATTGAATATTTGACTAAATCGTAAGGTTAAGCTTTCTATTTATATGTTAAAACCTCGTTTGTGGCGGCGATGGTGAAGAAGAGTAGTCGGCGGTGACGCGTATATCGTGAAATGTTCTTAAATACAGCCCATTTTTAATTATGTGGGCTTGTCTATGATATTCCCATTTTAGATATTGCTTTAGTTCTTTAGACGATGATTTTGTCGAAGACAAACAAAAGAAATCAACATGTTTGACTCTTGCGCAAAATATTGTCTTGGCTATGTGCGACGTCACATGACCTTGTAGATTTGATATTCTTGAAAATGAGAGTTATTTATCTGTACTTGTATTAAACCACAAACGTAGACTCACTCAAACTGTAATTACCCCAACATCCCACTTTATGCATCTCACTAAACTGTAAATAATCTTAGTTTTCGGATTACATGAAGATATGCAGGTTTATATCAATGGAATTGTTGTAAAAGTAGACATCAAAGAAAGACAAGTTCTTGTTACAGTTCTAAAATTGCAAAAAGCACATTATCCTCTAACGAGAAAACCAAAAGAACTCGCAGTGAGTTTGCTGTTCTGTTGATTATACAAAAGCTGATTTGATGAAATGAGAAATCAAATAAGCTTCGTATAGAAACTGATCTTTTTTAATCTTACGAAAATGCTTTCTGCAGCTTTTACGTCTTGTAATCTCTTTGCTTCTCTTCCTTTTGAGGGCTATCTTGTTTCTGTTTCCTCAAAATATCTTCTGCATATCGGCGCCATATGACTTCCCTGTCATCTCTGGGCATCTTGCTGTATCGGATGTCGGCTTTGAGTACTTGTTTAGCCGTTGACCAGGAGTTGAGAACTGTCTTTGCATCTTCCGTCTGTTGAGAAGCAGCTTCCGATGACAAGACTTCAACTAGAAGAGCTTTGAAGTCACGGGCACACCTCTGCAAACAACAAGAAAGTAATCACATGGAATAAAGTCCTCAAACAGACCAAAATGGAATAGCTTTGTTCTAATCTTGTTGTATGCAGAAAATCCTGAGGGTTTAGTTTGGTAAGGTTTACAGATGAGTACCTCGTACAATGTCTTTATATGGTCTCGGAATAGCTTCTCTTTATCAGCAGGATCCAAATCAGGATTGGAAGCACGTTTTTGAGGATCCCTCTCAAGTTTCGGCTTAGATTCTGTCCAGGATGCCTTCGGATGTTGAAAATGTAGACAACGAAAGATCGAGTAATCAGAATCTCCACAGAATTATATATAGAAGGCAACTTATTATTTCAAAATAGAGGATTAAATGTACTGCTGCTTCGCAGTTCTACAAAAAGATTTAGCACGCTGCATAGGAGAAGTGAACAGATAGAAGAAATACCTCGGGGTCTCTGATCTTCTCCACTAGCAAAGCTTGATAAGAGGCGACTGCCTCTTTCCTTCTTATTTTTTGTCGTACCCTTTCCACCTCTAGCACTTCTCTTTCTTTCCGTTTCCGCAACTCCCGCTCCCGTTCTCTCAGTTTATCCTGTACTCAATTTCAGAAATCACAGAAGATGTAAGTACATATGTGTCTTACTGGTTTCCCTCGTGAAAGATAGATGTAAAATCAATGACTTTCATTCTGAAATCCAGAAACACAGACAAAATCAAAAGAACTTTCTCGCGGCTCATATGGATGTGATTTTATAAAGTTTGTTTACCTCTTCGCCTCTGCTTTTCATCTCATCATCATCTCCCCTTTGTGCAGCTTTTACTTCCGCAATGTACTCATTATAAAAGACCTCCCTGTCCTCGTGCGCAGTAGATCTATATCTTGGATCATTTCTTAGGCTATCCTTCACCTGATATGTAACATGGGAGAAAAATATCATATAGGCAGGTCGTGCATGCTAATCAGTAAAAATTTTGCCAATCAAGGGAGACGAAAAATAGATTACGGTCATTCCAACAAATGGGCAGAAGTTGCTGAAAACTTTAGACAATTTCGGTACTATATATATATCTTGTTCGCTAAGGGACGAAACAAATATGACACCAACCTTGGACCAATGTGAATTTATGGACACTTCTCTTTCACGTAGCATCTTCTTAAACTCGGAGGCAGCTGCTGCGCGGATTTCTTGCGCCTTTTGTTCAGCAGCACGTTTCAAAGAAAGAACTCTACAAAAAAATCAGGGAAACTATAAAGAAAACAGAGGATGAGAGTATAAGACACTCAAAGGCAGGCCCGCATGAAGATAAAATTCTCCAGTGTAAAACACATGCATAGAAACCTGATTGCAAAATATGGATTGGTACCTTTCATTCAGCAAAGCTTCTCTCTCCTTCCGCTCAAGTGATTCAAACCGCAGATCACTTCCCCATTTCTTTTTAAAAGTATGATAATCAGTGTGTTTATCAATGTCCTGAAACATATCAAGATAATAATAATACTGGTTAGGAAATTTCCAAAACCAAATAAGAAAAATGTTAGGTAACGTAGCTCAAAGCAAAGAGGAACACAATTCGATAGAAAAGCATGCCTTAGACGCGTCGTCAAGCAACTGCTTGAAACCTTCAACAGCGGCCTTATGAGCAGCACGCTTTTCCCTACGTTCTTCTTCAGCGCGCGTCTTTACGTACTGCTCAAATAAAGATCTTCTAACAGAATGACTTTGTATTGCCTGCAAGAAAAATGAACTCCCAAATCAAAATACAGCATCGAAAAAGTCCACACTGCAAGTTGTGACAGTAGAACAGGTAAAATGAAAATTTGGCACAACATTAAATCCTCGTTACTTCCATGCGCTAACGAAGAATGAATTTGCAACACGACATATTATGGATAGGGACTACGGGGATAAACACTTAACATCACGTCATCACGTAAAGACTTAATTCTCAAATCGTTTCTTAGTCAATATTGGAGAAACTAGAAACATAGTTCTTTCTTCAACAATAATGAAAGTCATGTTTTCGAATATAATACCGATGTAAACAACGAGAGCAGCAAAAAGATCCGTGAAAAGAAAAGAGAGCATGATATTATTGTCACGTTTCCATGCAAATGATATCATCATTCGACACCTGGAGTATGAGATATATAGGAAGCTTTTATTTGTGCTCTATTTGAACCTAGAACAAATGGATGATGCAATGCTGGCAAAGAAACATGTAAAATTAACTGGGAATGTACAAAAGCTGCAAGTGCATGCAAGAAAAAAAACAATAAACATGAAATATACGAACAGGTGAGGTATCAAAATTTTTTTGCCAATTGTTTGGTTAGGCTTGACAAACCTTAAAGCGAGGGTCAAAGATAATTTTTGGCAGTTCCTTCTCCCATTTAGAAAACGGTGCTATTCCTTTATCCTTGAGCATTTCCTGCAAAAATTAATAGAAATAAAAAATACATCAGCCTGGATAATTTCAAGATTTCCAGGAGTGGAAAATTCCCTAGTAATTGACACCAATACCTATGGTACTTATACATGTAAATTCACGACATTCAACTATTCCAACATAAGAGAAAATTCCAATATATGATCTTCTATCCCTAGACTGCCTTATATTAGATACATCTGAACAGATTTGACGTGCAGGAAAAAAAAATGGAAAAGTATATATACCAACACTACGTCGGAAAGCACAGAAACGAAGACCAAAAGAACTATTCATAGGTCCAGAACAATATACCTTAAACTGTTTGATACATTCTTCCTTCGATGGTCCACTATCTTCATCTTCGGAATCTGAAGTAGAATCAGAAAGGTCACCAGCTTCAGGAGCATCTTTTACCTTACTCATACCATCTCCACTCTCTCCACCCGGTGTGACCTCGTTTGCTTTACCACCATTTGCTTCAGATGTTGTCGTAGAGGAGACAGGCACTCCAGAATCATGTAGTTTCTTTTTAACCAAATCCAATGCTGAGATACCAGGAACACCTGTAGTTCTGAGCGATGCGGCCTCCCGGCCCCCATTGTTAATAGCAGGTGCGCTTAAAATTTCTTGCTCAGATCCCTTTTCAGTTAAATCAGCGCTAGGCACAGAAGCTGAACACTCCGTTGACCTCTCCTCCGTTTTTTTCACCTCAGCTGGAATCTGCCAGCTACTTACCTGATCAAGAAATTGGAGGATTCAAGAAGTATAACAAGAAAATATTGAGTATCAGAACAGTAGTTCCAAAGCCACTGAAAAAGTTGCCTCCTCTTTACATTTATTTACCTTTGTTTTATTGTTGTAGTAGTATTTTTTGCCATCATTTGTGGAAACAAGAGCCCAATCCGTCCCATGTAAATGCTCCCTACATTTTGTACAAGTTAGCAGGCTGGAAGTGATGCAACCAAATATAAATCTGTTGATTTCATAGGCATGAAATAGTTGGCGGCCTAGTAGAAGATTCATAAACAAGCTGCGTAACAGTACAATGCCTCATGCAGAAGCAACCAAAACTGTATCTTAAAAATATGACAACTAGTTTTATAGGAGAAATGATCTTAATCTAAGAACTTACATAGATATAGGAATTGGCTGCACCGGCACTTTATCAGGCTGCAAAAGTTAAGAAAATGTATAGATTATAAATTGCTCAAAACAGAGAAATAGGGTAAGATGTATCAAGGTAGACTCAAACTAATATTCTCCATAAGTTTTTGCACTAGCAAAAAAGCAACCCTTATTTACCGCCTGTGAATAACTTAATGTGGATAGTGTAACCGTTCAGATGCTCCTACAACAACTTCACTGTAATAAAGTAACTAGACAAGCTTAAGCAACTGTGCAACTAATAGTAAAAACAAAGTTCAACTATTTCAGTTATTTTGTGGTATAAAACAAATTTGGAAGTACTGAGGATTGCAATCCAATATTAAGGCACGGAAAATAGAGAATAAATTGTTTTAAACAAAGACTGAAAACCATTGTTCAGCAGCTAGTGGACATGGCATCTAGGGGTTAAAAAAAGGTTTGAGTCACATCTGACATTTTATAGCTGGGACTCAAATATACCAAAAATGCAAATACATATTATAGACAGGAACTCCTAAGTGACATGTTGTGAAGCAAAGTAGATCATTTAATGCCGCACTAAATAGATGTAGTTTCAACTAAAGAACAAGCCATCTAATCAGCTAAACCCACCTCCGCTTCAAAACCAGGAGGCTTCTCATAAGTCGATTGCCCTGTCACCGAATTATAATAGTAAACAACTCCTGTTTCAGATTTATGTGCAGTCCATGCATCTACTCGATTTCCTACTAGTTGAGAAACAGTTCTGTCATCTGCAAAATAAAAGATGATCCTGATAAAGGCTATGTAAAGTAAAGAGAATAACCATCAAGGTTAAACATCTCTTACATGGATCAGTAATCATCAAGCATACCAATTCCTGAGAGTGCTTCTGTCCTTTGACCGGGAGGAATATCTAACGGTTGGTGACCTGGTAGCGCATGAAAGGTGCCGGTATTTCCCACAGGAAGCGGTTGAGAACCAGGATACGGCAGGTGAGAAGAAGATCCACGAATTGGAAACGGGTAATTACCAGGAAAAGGAGTAGGATGTGAAGGGAAAGGTGCCCTGGGAATACCACCCATAGGTGGAGGCTGCAACCACATCCCTTGAGGCGTTCCGTGCATTGGTGGCAGAGAATGATAAGGAGGATACATGTGTGGATTGATTTGAGCAGGACCCCCGGGTCGTGGAACTGTGGAGAAAGGGTTGGAACCAGGAAAAGTAGGTGGAGATGTCATTATCCCAGGAGGAGCGAGTGTTCCTGGTCGACCAAAAGGAGGATTTTGTAGCATATGCGGAGCTTGAGGTATGGGATTAGCAATTGAGGAGGCTGATGGATTAGCACTTAATTGCACAGTAAGGGGAGATGAAACTGATTGAGAGACAAACCCTGTTGTGGCAATCTGCACTCAACAATAACCAAAACATTAGTGAATAACCTAAGCAAGTGATAGTGAACAAGATTCGAGTGTTGACAAATTCTATTAGTGAATTAAACTAAAATAACCTTAATCTAAACACATTCATTCATCTGATTATAAGATCACACGTTCTTCTACGGAAAAGCCACATCACAAGCCAACAAGTACAACTAACGCAAAGCTTCTAACGGCGTTGAGCCAATCGAGCGAAACGGAAGAGCTAAGAAATAAAAATGAGCTAAGAAATAAAAATGAGGCTAAGAAATAAAAATGAACAACATACAGAAATAGAGGACTGCTCTGGCTGAGATTTACTGCTTGGAGAGACACTCGAAGAAGGAGTAGGCAATACTGAATCACTTGGAGGAGGTGTGGCGAAGATACCATCTCCTGTAGATGGCGCCGTTGTATTCAACGGCTCCGTTACATTCTCCCCTTCCATCACCTTTTGAAGAGAGGTGGATTTGAATTAACGGCGGAAGCTTCTAGCTCTCTGAAGCGCGAAGGAAGGAAGTTAGGGTTTATTGAATAAGGAATCAATGTCCCCGATTCAGGGGAAGGCAGTTAAGCCGACGGTATAGATGGTGGGGGAGGTGGAAACGATGGACGGTTGAGATTACGTTCCGTCGAAAAAGGAAGGATATATTTTATTATTTGATGGAAAAGTCCTTATATTTTTAAGAAACTTGTAGAAGAGTCGCGGTGTTTTAATTGGTGTTTTAGCCACCCCCTAAGTCGTCTAAACGGGTCAAAATAAAATACCATGTTAGACGCACGTGGTTAATGTTTTAAATTCAAAAAAAAGGTTATACTTCCTCTGTTTCATATTAAGTGTCGTTCTAGAGGAAAAATTTTGTTACAAAATAAGTGTCGTTTTCGGTTTTCAATGCAAAATTTATTGATTTTATTATATTATTGATTTTTCTATTGGTTAAAATGTGGTTAGCTGTATTGGTAATTGTTTTTTTATATAGGAAATATACAAAATTAATTGTTTTCTTAATCCATGTGCAGAAGTTTAAAATGACACTTATTATGAAACAGAGGGAATATAAAAGATATTCACGTTATGTAGATTGAAAGTTGACCATAAATATAGTGATGACTGATAATGATTTCAATCCGAGTCTCGAGGGAGAAAACATTAAACATGTACACTGTTTTCTACATTTTGTTCTTGATAGTTGATATAGACGAAGGTTGCAAAGTTTAAACAACATGATCTAGCCCTTTTCTCTACCACTCGCTAATCTATGGTCGGAGCTGGGCTATCATACATCGGGATCTAACACTTTTCTTGATGTATTTTTTTATTGTGTGGCCAGCAAAAAAAAATGGTGGGAGAGCGCCGACTAACGTGTGGAAGAGTCCAAGAAGCCAAAGATTACGGGTAAACTAGTACCAATTCTTCTTTTAGGTCGCCGACCTCTCAAGATAGCAACCCCTAAGATTTTCCAACGTATTATGTTTAATCGTGACATCGACAAAATATATGATATCATATTTATGCTACTATAATTATAGATTAGATTACATCACACCAGAATTTATGCAATAAATTATTTATCTTATAGTTTTATTTATTCCATAGTAAAAATTTATTTTATTAACTTTCATAAGTATAAAAAATCATATTCTTAAAATTCTAATTTTATTATAAGTGTGTTAATATTTGTTTTCTAAAAGTGTAAAACTAGTGGACCATAACGAGCTTCCACAAATACTAGTTTTTAACGCGCATAAAAAAAGAGAATGGCATGACGGGTATTTCCATCTTTCCTAATAGTCTCGCATATTCTGGTTCGCATAACTACAAACCCAAGTCTATCCCTCTCTCTATCTCTCTGCGTACTCACATCTTACGGTTTTGAATTTCTTCCTTGAAAAACCCTAAGGGGGAAACGTTTCGTCGCTGCAGTTGTGTATTCACTGTTCATATTCTCTCTGTGAGAGAGAGAGACCTTCGCTATTTTGCGTCAGCGGCGGAGATGCGTCAATTAGACTCTCCTGCGTGGAGCTTCCGGTGAATAAAAAAAGACGATTGATAAATGATTCCACAATCTTCTTCCTCTTCTACTTTCAATTTCTTATCTCACGCCAACGTCTCACCTCGTCTGCTATGCCCTTGCTCCAACGAGCATGGCTTGATTCTCTTCCGCGATAGATTCCCGAGGCGGCGGAGAACCAGAGTTCTGGTCACGAATGCGAACTCGAGGCTCGTTTCCACCGGGGATTCAGCGAGAAACGTCGCAAGGAGTCTTGTGGTTTCTAGGTTTTCGAATGAATTCGAAGACGAACAAGAATCATCATCGACTCAGAGTGACCGAAGCAATTTCACTAACTACAGAGAAGATCCGATCGTAGATAAGCTCAGGACTCAGCTCGGCGTTATCCACCCAATCCCCTCTCCACCGTTTAACCGCAACGCGATTGGTCTCTTCGCGTTCTTCTTCTTCGTCGGCGTTGTCTGCGACAAGCTCTGGGCGTGGAGAAAGAGGCGGAGACAAGAGAGACAGCGAGGAGCCGGGCCATGGGCGCAGCTTCCTTCGCCTTCTTTCGAGAAGGATTTGCAGAGGAAAGAGTCGGTGGAGTGGGTGAACATGGTGTTGGTGAAGCTCTGGAAAGTTTATAGAGGTGGGATTGAGAATTGGCTCGTGGGGTTGTTGCAGCCTGTGATTGATGACTTGAAGAAGCCTGATTATGTGAAGAGGGTTGAGATTAAGCAGTTTTCACTTGGGGATGAGCCTTTGTCTGTTAGGAATGTTGAGAGGAGGACATCGAGACGCGTCAATGACTTGCAGTAAGTTTCATACCTACTTTTACTTGCTCTCTAATATGTTAAGGTACTCAATGTATTGTGCAAGTGGATCAAATGGTGGCCTTGGTTGTTAGTTAAACGACTAAGCGGTTAACTCACGGCTCGGTTCAAGGTTTCTTATGCTGTGCTGTCATTTTTTTTTTTTTTGTTATTATAGGTACCAGATTGGTCTTAGGTATACTGGTGGTGCTCGGATGTTATTAATGCTCACTTTGAAATTTGGTATCATCCCAGTGGTGGTGCCAGTTGGTATTCGGGATTTTGATATCGATGGTGAGCTTTGGGTTAAGTTAAGATTGATACCGTCAGAGCCTTGGGTTGGAGCTGCATCATGGGCATTTGTATCACTTCCAAAGATCAAGTTTGAGCTGGCACCATTCCGACTGTTTAATCTTATGGGTATGGCTGAATCGTGATCGTCTGTTGTTTTCTCGTAATCTCATGTCACATCTTTTTTTTTTTTTTTTTTTTTGCATCTTCTTAAAGATTAAATACACAATCTTTTGTTTGGTGAATTGTTGATCATATAAAATTGTGGAAAGATTATGCTATTAACTATTGGTGACTAATGTGCAGTTCACATTATCTTTAAATTTTAAAGGTTGAACATGAGGAATTGCTCATATATATTTTCTTCTTTTTGCATGAATGCTTCGGATGATTACATCAGGAATTCCTGTTCTATCCATGTAAGTCCTACTATACTTGTCTTCATGTTAGCTTGTTTGCTGCACATAACTGTTCTTTTCAACCATTGGGTTCAATGCTGCATTAGTTTAAGTGTTTCGTACTTGAAAGTTCTTTCCTGTTTAGATGAGATATATAGTTGTAGAAAGGAGTTTCGTAACCTCTTTTAGCCGTATGGTTTTTTTTCTTCTCTGCCGTGAATTTTGGGAGCATATACTTTAAGTTGCAGGTCTAGGTACTTTGATCTGATACTGGTATTCATTTTAGCTTTTTCTGTCTGTTGATTGTTCACCCTCCTTAAGGTTTTGATATATCAGTTTGTTCCCTCTTTCCCCCGCTTTATCTCTTTCAGGTTCTTGACCAAACTGCTGACAGAAGATTTGCCTCGATTATTTGTCCGGCCAAAGAAAATTGTCTTGGATTTCCAGAAAGGGAAAGCCGTTGGACCAGTTTCAGAAGACCTAAAATCTGGAGACATGCAGGAAGGGAACAGGGATTTTGTTGGGGAACTGTCTGTTACTCTTGTAAATGCCCAGAAACTTCCATACATGTTCTCTGGTAAGTTATATTCCCTCCATATTTCCTTCTTTTTCCAGTAATTACTGATTACTTTCTGGCAATCTGTGTTATTTTAGTGTCTATATATACCCCCAGGTTCGTTCATTCGAATACGTTGAGCAATAAAATCAGTTATATTTATTCATTCATCACTTTACTTGTTCCTCCATTCAGAACATTTTGTTTTTATTTTGTAATAGGTAGAACGGATCCATATGTTATTTTACGAATGGGTGATCAAGTTATCCGTAGTAAGAAGAATAGTCAAACTACTGTGATTGGGGCTCCTGGTCAGCCAATCTGGAATCAGGTAAAGTGGTTAAATATCTCACTGGCTTATTCATATTCTGGTGGTGGATTAGTTCTTGTAAATCGCTAAAATTGTTTAGAATGTATCTGTATCATAAATATTTGTCAGGACTTCCAATTCCTTGTTTCAAATCCTAGAGAACAAGTATTACAAATTGAAGTCAATGACTGTCTTGGATTCGCGGATATGGCTATTGGCACTGGAGAGGTAAATCATCTTTCCTTTTATTTTATTTGTGATCTGCATAAGAACTACTTGATATGTTGTCTGAGATGATTTCTCAAGATGATGATCTTCTACTTCTAAGTCATGCTTTTTATGTTTGTTAAGTGTCGTCTTTTCTGTAATTCTTTACACTGTTTTTTTTGGGGTCAAATTCTTTACACTGTTTAATATCAACATTATACAAGAACCCACTTTCATCCCCTTATTCTCTGCACTATATTTCAACTAGAGGGTTTGAATTGAGAAGATGAGACTGAGAACAATCACCAGTGCTCTGATGAAATAGCAGTTTGTTTTTTGTTTAGGTGTAAAAAGTAAAAATATGTGACTGAAGGAGTAAGAAAAACAGTGGTTGAACAATCAGTTACTGCAATGACAATGACTTTACTGTATTATATTAGTATAGTACCTTAAATATGTATTTGAACAACTATGTGAGCATGTCACACGTTAAAAGTTTGTGTCTGATTGCTCAAGTTACTCACCCCATCCTTTATCAAAAAAAAAAAAGTTACTCACCCCATAGGTTATCGGTCTTCCTTGTCAGTATACAAATATTCACATAACTATATTTGGCACAATTCCATCTTTCAGCTTCTATGCAACCAATTTACATGTTCCTGCACAAAAACCTGTCAGCACACATAATTATTTATTGATTGATGCCGCAGTTTGAGTACTTGCACTGTCAGCCAATTGGTTGCTTGCCTAATCCGAGAATCTAAGAATTTATTACTTTTTCTGCTGCATAACCTTATTCTAACCTTATTTTCTGTTTGAATAACCTTATTCTGACCTTACTTGCTGTCTGCATAACCTCACTACTAACCTTATTACTTAATTAAACAACATCCAGGTTGACCTCGGATCGCTGCCAGACACGGTTCCTACAGACAGAATTGTTGTTTTACGAGGCGGTTGGAGTTTGTTCGGAAAGGGATCGGCTGGAGAAATACTACTGCGGCTTACATACAAAGCATACGTGGAGGATGAAGAAGATGATAAACGCAATGCAAAAGCCACTAATGCAGATGCTTCCGATGATGAAATGTCTGATTCTGAGGAACCTAGCTCATTCGCACAGAGTGACAAGATTCCTTCTGATGATCTAAGTCAAGAGTCGTTTATGAATGTGCTGTCTGCATTAATTTTAAGCGAGGAATTTCAAGGCATAGTTTCATCAGAAGCTGGGAACAAACTTTACGAAGGAGAAGCAACCGTGCCACCAGTACCCTCAAAGGCTGCGGAGGACCCAAAATCTCAACCGGACGATTCTGGCAATGGGGGTATATCAGATTTTGAAGTGAAAACCCCGAATTCGGATAGAAGCGCTGTTGATGATGGAGGTGAATCGAGGTTCTGTCTTATAATGATTTGCTTCCATGGTTCTTGGTCTTAAACTATTAAGCTTTCTTATTTCAGGATTAGCATTACTGTGGTTCAGTGTAATCACGTCTGTATTGGTGCTCGTTGCTATTAACATGGGCGGCTCAAGTTTCTTCAACCCGTAACATGGTGTTGTATGGATCACGATTTATATTGCGGAGTAAGTCTCTGAACCTATAAATAGAAACTTTGCAAGTTCTGCCTCTGGTTGCCAATATCAGTTGAATTCACTTGAATAGATAAATGGAATTTTGCATATATTTGAGAACCAATCTTGCAATCTTCCATGGTTTTAGCTGGCATAGTTTCTGTGTTAGCCTTTCATATCAAAAATACGGAAACTTGAAAAATTGTCAGTTAGATAAAACTATGCAAGTTGAAAATGATGAACCAAGTCTCTGTAATTGGGAAATACTGAGAACCTGGCATTCAGTTTATGATATAAACTTGAAATCGAATGTGTCCTCTGTAACGATTGTGTGATCTGCTCATTGTTGATATGACATAGTCCAGCTTCCAGTTCTGCTGTTTGCATTCATTAGTGGCCCATTGTTGATTGACTGACCAAAGTCTCTAATTTAATGGCAGGTTGGTTCTTTCTCTCTTCTCGGCCTTAGAGATGGCTTATAACGAAGTCTCAGTTTTGTGTTTACATTCTACTGCCATTTGTATGCATGTCATTAGAAGAGTGACACTTATTGGCGGCAGAAAGTTTTAGGATACATTTCACACAATCTCTTACAACCGTGAATCAACGTGTATACCAGTGGTTTGTTATATAGTACATGGAAAATTTATTCTCCATTCAAATAAAGTTTATTCTTTCTGCAAGTAAACGATTTTGTCTTCCATAACACGTAGAACAGTGACGCCTACTATTAGCAGTCACCAACTTGAGGGCTTTTTAAAAAGTGTTCGTTCTGTAAGTTTTTTGGTGGAAGCTTTCACATGGAAGTCGTAATTATGCTTTTCAGTTTAGTTTTGTCCATTTTTCAGGTACAACATCTGTAAAACTCTGCCAGTGATGTGCCTGGAGAGCAAGAGTATAAACATGGTACAATACTTTCTGCTTTTTGCTTTTTGAATGGTTTCTTGGCTCTCAAGTTCGTCTTGCTAGATCATGTTAGGAGGATCATTAAGTTCTTCATGGTTTGCAGATAGCTAATCTCGTATTTTGAATATTTAGTTGCGAAGTAATCTGTTTTTTTCTTCTCAAGCTGAAGTAACATATTTGCCTAACAGTGGAGTAGGTGTAAGTAGTGATGTATAGTCTGATGAAAAGCCACAAAAACTAGAAGATATATTGCGGGAACTGGAATGATTGATTGTTATTGCGAGCATCATGGATTATATAACAATGTTAAACAGAAGAACACAATTTACAATATATATATATATATATCATGTTAACTAATTGCACGTTAAGTGGACACAATTAGATCTACGCTTATTAAAAGAACATATACAGTACAATCAAACATATAGAATAACAAGGGGATCGTGGGTGCCTTAAATTAAGGCCAAGTGACAGAAACAAAACAGTATAATCCATGATATAAAAAGGGATTAACAAGTGAGAAAAATGGAGATTAGAGATGATATATGATTATATTACCAAAGATGAGGAAGAGAAGTCACGTGAAGGAGTTGAGATCACGTCAGGCACATGTGCTGGACAGTTCTTGTTTATAGGTTTGTTTTCCTAGACTCTCTTCTTCGATATCTCCGTTCTCTTTTGTCCTTTTCTCTCATTTTACTTCGTTTTCAACTTCAGTTACTTTTCCTTCAGTGACTTACTACTTCACTCTTTAATGTAGTAGTAGTAATTCAAAATGAGCTAAAGTTATAACTTGACCAAGACTGAAAGGATGAACATAAAGCTTTTAAGACAGTGTTTAGTCATATTTTCGGGCTCATCTTTTTACAAATTACAATCTCTATCACTTGTCTATTGGTTCTTCACACTTAACTATGTTGTAAAATTAGTACTAAAAATTTAATTGGACAATGACGTTTTTTTTTTGTTGATGGGGAACGCATGGGTTTATTTGCATGGCACTTGACCAAATAGTAATGCGTGTATTGGATTGTTCTGTAATAACAAAATTGCTGTTGCTGTAAAAGATGATTTCTTTGATGTCATTGGTGTTCCCAATATCTTGTACTCCATGCAAGACCAATCTTTGAATAATAACATTTCAACTGTCGGAAAAAAAACAATTGGTGTTTTTATAAATTACAACCACCCAACCAAATTCATTTTCTAAATTTCTGTATACGTATCTATATTATTAAAACTGAAATACTTTTTGATTCTGTTTGGAAATACGGATAGCAAAATAAATGAAACATTGTTTGGAAACATGGATAGTAGATTAAATATTTTCTTTTATTTGTACATTTAGCCATTGTATTTTACAATAAATTAAATACTTTCCTTTTGTATTTCTTTTTATTTACAGATTATGTCATTGCATTTAAAATCAGTTTAAGTTAATTAATTTCAATGATTTTTCTTTCTCTCTGATGAAAATAAAAACACAAACCGAAATATATAGTATACATTTATATAAAGTAAATTTTAAATATAATATCACCTTATTTAATTTAGTCAAATATAAAATTGTGTGAGTTCAATTTAAATAAAAAATATCATAAAATTAATGATAACTCATAAAAAACTAATTCAAAAAAAAAAAATTTTAGTATGTTGTTTTATTTTAAAATAAATTAACAAAAAAAACAACATGTTAGTATATGAATAGTACGATTACATCAAGTTATAAAATTTCTAATATACTACTATGTACAAATAAAAATTATTATTAAATATTTATATTATAAAATAATATATTTTACTTTATATGTAAATTACAAAACATAAAAAAACAAAATTGTAAAAAACCAACGGTTTATGAATTTACGTTAAACACAAGTTAAATCAAACACCCGCACGGGAGTGCGGGTCAAGTTCTAGTATTTGCATTCAAAGTGGAATACAATCATCTAAGAGGAAACAAAAACTTATGAAGCGTGAATAAATTTTACTGACGTCAATGATTCCAAATTTCAAATACTTAAACCATCTCCGGTAGAGTATCTATGAGGATTTTATGTGTTAATTTTATAGAATTATATGATAAAAATTAAATAAATAAAAAAATAAAAAATTAGATAGATATGGTTCTAAAAATAGAATTTTTGGAACTACTTCTAAATAATAGGTGTCATTTTTTGATATGATAGGATTGTATTTAAAAAAAAAAAAATTAAAACTAATTGTTCTTGAAATTTAGAAACATGGTTTGGAGTTCTAAACATGAGGGGCCCAAACATGAGTGATAATAGTTGGCATATTTAAAATATAATTTACGAGATTTTGTTAGAGCTGGATATCTTGTGCCAAAAAGAAAAGAAAAGCTAGAGCTGGATATCCTCCTCAAACGTGCAATCACCCCTATTTCTCGATCTCAAATAAATAAATAATATTTGGTGACGACAATAAAGTAAACCATTATTTCCTTTTGAGCAATTAATTACTTAGAACTTTAAAGTGTAACCATTTTTCAAAAGCTGATGATTTTTAATGTTAAAGTACAAGTGCATATTATTATATTTTCTAAATCAGCTGAATGATTTTTTAGCAGATCTTAGCAAGAGATATATGGCTACAGAATTGATTGCCTTTCCACCAAATTACACGATACTTCTTTTCTAATTATCGTACTATAGAGGCACTTATAATGCTACCAATAATTTTCGTATATGAATTATGATGACAAAAATGAACATCATCATTAATTTATAATGATCAGCAAGCATATGCTTAGGGACATTATAAAAAACATGTAGGACTTTTTACTATAAATTATTTAAATGAACTTTCATAGAATAAAATTTTAAAAATGCATTTAGAAAACATAAATTTGACATATACATATATATATATATATATATATATATATATATATATATATATATATATATATATATATATATATATATATATATATATTCCTTGATTGAATACATGTCTTCCTTTTTTTTTTTTTGAAAAAGAATGTCTTCCTGCCTTTGTAAACTTATATTTGTTAATTAATTCCAGTGGGGGAATATAAAATATAAACTATTAAAAGATCTATACTTTTCTATCTTTTTCATCAATATGACGAGTAACCTTTAAAAAAAAAAAAAATCAAAATTGTTGAATTTTTGCTTTTTCTATAAGAAAAATAACAAGAAAACTATCAAAACATTGCATAAATTTAAATATTAGCAATAATTTTTTAATATTGATTGATATTATTTTATACTCTTCCATCTCAAAATAATATATGTTTTAAGAATTTTCACACTTACTAATAAAACATGTTAAAACTTAGTTGGTAAAACATAGTTTTTTTTTTGTTTTAATTTTATTTTTTTATATTTCTAAACCAATAAAACTTCAAAAAATGTAATTAAATGTTTTTGAGGTTCACAATTTTTTATTATTAGTTGATAAAAATAAGTTGGAAATATAAAAAAAAAAATTTTTGAAACGAAGGAGTAATAATTACAAAATATTAAACTTTTTAATGAAAATTAGAAAATAGTGGGAAATACACGTGAATCAGGCTGGCTATAATCATTTTTGGAGTTATAAAGACAAATCGTCTCTCACTGTCCGGACACTTTCACTTATCCTCTCTCTATCTCCTCCTTTGGATTCTTCAGGTACCCTCTTTCTCTCTCAGTCTCAGTTATCATCTTCTTCCTTCCTTAGATCTCTCGATCTTTGTTGATACTTTAGTACATAACACAAGTGAAACCATGTGGATTTTGATCTCAAACCATCTCTGTCTTCGAACTCAAGCAAAATTTCAGAACTTGCTCAACATTGTTCTGATGACTTTGTAAGAAGACTAGATGTATAGATCTAAGTACTAGAACCAAACCCATAACTTTCTGTCTCCTTGTCCTTTTCACAAGCATATAACTTCATGTCTAGTTGTCTTTCTGTTCTGTAGCTCATCAATTTCATGGAATCCAAACTATAGTTCTTACAGATTGATCACACACACACAAACACAAGCATGTATATATATTTGTATTTTCGTATTTTGACATTCTTGTGGTTTGATGTTTCTCAATTAGTTAGTTGTACAGTGATGGATCGGAAAACTCTCTAGCTTTGGTTAAGTTTTGAAGATCATTTTGCTTACTTACAAAGACATACTTTGTTTCTCCTGTTTTGATGCAGTGAGGGGTGGAGAAATGTCGGATCTCCAGGCACCGCTTGTAAGGCCAAAGAGAAAGAAAACATGGGTTGACTACTTCGTCAAGTTCAGATGGATCATCGTCATCTTCGTGGTCCTTCCAATCTCAGCCACACTCTACTTCCTCATCTACCTCGGAGACATGTGGTCAGAGTCCAAATCCTACGAGAAACGCCGCAAGGAACACGACCAAAACGTCATGAAAGTCGTCAAACGCCTCAAGGAGAGAGACGCAGGCAAGGACGGTCTTGTCTGCACCGCACGCAAGCCATGGATCGCCGTCGGAATGAGAAACGTTGACTACAAGAGAGCACGCCATTTCGAGGTTGACTTGGGTGAGTTTCGCAACATCCTTGAGATCAACAAGGAGAAGATGATCGCTAGAGTTGAGCCTCTTGTCAACATGGGGCAGATCTCACGTGCTACGGTCCCAATGAACCTCTCTCTCGCTGTTGTTGCTGAGCTTGATGATCTCACTGTCGGTGGTCTCATCAATGGTTACGGTATTGAAGGAAGCTCTCACCTCTACGGTTTGTTTGCGGATACCGTTGAGGCTTACGAGATCGTTCTAGCTGGTGGGGAACTTGTCCGTGCCACGAGGGATAATGAGTACTCCGATCTTTTCTATGCGATTCCTTGGTCTCAAGGAACTCTCGGGCTCCTTGTTGCTGCTGAGATCAGGCTTATACCGGTTAAGGAGTACATGAGACTTACTTACATACCAGTCAAGGGAGATCTTCAAACCTTAGCTCAAGGCTACATGGATTCTTTCGCGCCTAAAGATGGTGACACGTCAAAGATCCCTGACTTCGTTGAAGGCATGGTGTACAATCCTACAGAAGGTGTGATGATGGTTGGAACATACGCGTCTAAAGAAGAGGCCAAAAAGAAAGGTAACAAGATCAACAATGTGGGATGGTGGTTTAAGCCGTGGTTCTACCAGCATGCTCAGACCGCGCTGAAGAAAGGACAGTTCGTTGAGTACATCCCTACTCGTGAATACTACCATAGGCACACAAGGTGTTTGTACTGGGAAGGGAAGCTTATTTTACCATTTGGTGATCAGTTTTGGTTTAGGTTCCTCTTTGGTTGGTTGATGCCTCCAAAGGTCTCTCTTCTTAAGGCCACTCAAGGTGAAGCTATCAGAAACTATTACCATGATATGCATGTTATTCAGGACATGCTTGTTCCTCTTTACAAGGTCGGTGATGCCCTTGAATGGGTTCACCGTGAAATGGAGGTAAAGTAAAAGTTCTTTCTCATTTATTGTAGCTAAAGAATGTCTATTCATGTTCTAAATTAGGCCTCGCATTTGGGTATCGGTTCGATTCGGATATTTCAAGTATAGGAGGCTAGATGATCCATTTACTACTTGATCTGTTTCTAGTCTGGGTTGTTTTGATACTTTTAGATTCGGTTTGGATAGTAAACCTAGGAACCAAAAAAACCACCAAAATTTTTGGTTCAATTCCAGTTATTTTGGGTAAATTTTCAGATAATTAAGATGGTTCTAATTAAAATATCAGATAATTTATATTGTTTTAGATATGTTCAGGTATAAATATCGGGATACTTTCTGATAATTTTGAGTAATTCAAATACTTTTAATAGTTTGTTTCTTCAAATATTTTTGGATACTTTGAATTAAATATAATTAAATTTTTATATATTCGGGTACTTGTTTGGTTCAGTTATTTTAAATATAGAAATATAGGAACATTTCAGATATTTGAGGGTTTCGGGTATTTTGGTTCAGTTAGGGATTTTTGATTTCTCTGTTTTTTTTGTTGGACCAAGCCTATTCTAAATATTTCATTACATGTACTTTTCAGGTGTATCCAATCTGGCTTTGCCCACACAAGCTCTACAAGGCACCAATCAAACAACAGATCTACCCTGAACCAGGTTTTGAGTATGAGAAGAGACAAGGAGACACGGAAGATGCTCAGATGTACACTGATGTTGGAGTATACTACGCACCCGGTCCTGTCTTGAGAGGTGAAGAGTTTGATGGATCAGAAGCTGTGCGTAGGATGGAGAAATGGCTGATAGAGAACCACGGATTCCAGCCTCAGTACGCTGTCTCTGAGCTGGACGAGAAGAGCTTCTGGAGGATGTTTGATGGTGACTTGTACGAGCATTGCCGCAAGAAGTACAGAGCTGTTGGAACGTTCATGAGTGTTTATTACAAGTCAAAGAAAGGAAGGAAGACTGAGAAAGAAGTTAGAGAAGCAGAGCAAGCTCATCTCGAAACAGCTTATGCTGAGGCAGATTAAGCAACCAAAATGTGGATTTGAGAGAGACTTGAGAGTTAATTATTATTGTTATGGGTGGTGGTAGTGTGTCTTTTGTTTTGTGTCTGTTATGTGTTTTCTATTTTCAGTTTAGTGTTGTCTTTGATGATGATTATTGTTTGTTTGGTTCTTGCTATGGTTTTGACTTGTGATTTGAATGGATTTTGAGATTTGGACTTGCTTTTGAGACTTTTGGTTTGAGATCTTTTGGGTCATTCATGACATAAGTTATTCTTGATAGTAGGAATTAGGGTGGAATTTTGACAAGAAATTTTCTCTATTAAAGGAGAACTACACATTAGATTTAACCTTTACTTCATGTGTGATTTATAACATATGCTACTGGAATTAAAGACTTAGGTGTTTATGTATATCTCTACTTTAATTCAGTCCAATTTAATTCTACTGATAAGCATATGATTAGATAGCTTACATAGTTTCCTCGTATTAATTTGGAAATGGATCTATTCAGTTTTTCCGAGCTGATCCTGAATCTTTACATTATCTTTTTTCTCTTGATTTCATTTTTTACTGTTGCTTTGGAGATTTTGAGCTTGATATGATTTTTTTTGGATTGAATATCAAATTTCTTGATCAAAAGAAGGCATGTGCAATAAATAGTTGTGTGACTATACTAGTATGAAAGAATAAAAGAAAGAGTGGCCTCTTGAATTAAACCATCTCCTGAGTAGTCCTTCCAGTGGGTATGCAGTAGCGTAGCGAAGCGGAGAAATTCTAGTACGCATCAGTTTGTCAATGTTGAAAAACTCATTCTTCTGAGAATATTATCCATCCTACTGTGCGCAGACTGCAGCAATGTTGCAATTGTTTCGTCCCAATCCGGAGTAATGCCATCACCAAGTAACCTCTCTGCTATGTTCACTCAAACAGTGAATGAATATGGGCATGCAAAAAATATGATCCCGGGCTTCATCCCGTTCTCTACATAACATACAACACTGCTCTATTCTCCATTTTTTCATTATGTCTCAAGTAGCTAACCTGTTATGGAAAACAAGCCAGACCATAAAAGACTGCCTAGGAATAGTGATGCAGCGCCACTTCTGTTACCCGTCGATCACAACTCCAATTCTACTTAGGAGTTTCCTTTTTCTTATGTTGGTTTTTTTTCCTTTTATTAGTTTAACCTTTATTCCTATCAGATAAAGGATTTTCCTAATCATCTTACGTTTAGGAGTTTCTTAGCTATTCTAAATAGAGAAGCTCTCGAAACATGTAAAGATACAATTCAACAGTGGCGGATCTAGAAAATATTTAGGATGGGAAAAAAATTAACTAATAATAAATATTTTTATTTAATACTATAGAAATTATTTTTATATATTTTAGTTACATTTTATTTAGAAGAAAACAATTAGTCAAATAATATGACTAATACAATTTTTATAACTAGGAGAAGAGAAAGAGTAAACCCAATACACAATGAAATGAAAATTTATAGAAACTTAAAATATTTAAAATTAAATAGTTTTTGAATTAAAAAATAAGGAATCTGACACTATTAAAAGGGCCATAAGAAGCCTCTTAGATATGCCACCTAAACAAAAATAATCAGCCAATAATATTATAACAATCCTCCACGTCATTCGGTTTAGCTTGCTCAACTGGAGACCCGGTTTGATTTTGGTTCATTTTTCTAATCTGGTTTCGGTTCTTTTTTCTAATTTGATTATTGGTTTATGATGGAGGCGGAGAAAGCTGCATCTTTCTTCTGCTTCTCTTACCTTTCGACTTGTTGATCTTCCTTTATTCTTCTCTTCTGTTTCTACGATTAATTTTACCATTATCTCCTCTAATCAATCTTCCGTTTGAACTCATTCAATGTTTTTTTTCACCTTCCTCTCCATTTCTGTATCTATAGATCTCTTTCCCTAGCTTACGTCTCGATCACGTTTTCAATCCTATATAAATATCTTATATCTAAATAGTAACAATTGATATCAGGTTACATGCTACCTACCTTAAAATATATATTGTTTTGTTATAATAAAATAAAAAATTACATACAGAAAAAAACTATATATTTGACAAAATAAAAGAAAGTATATATCAAACAAAATTAAATTCTATTGTGTATAACGTATAGAAACAATGATAAAATAAATTGTAAAAAGTGTTCTAAAAATAGTGAAACAAATGTTAGATATAACTAAAAATATTTTTTTTTAAACATTACATCGAAGTAGTTTTAAGGATAAATAAGTACTCCCTCCGTTTTATATTAAGTGTCATTGTAGAGAATTTTTTGTGTTACAAAATAAGTGTCGTTTTCGGTTTTCAATGTAAAATTTATTAATTTTATTATGTAATTTGTTTTTCTATTGGTTAAAATATGGTTAGGTGTATGGGTAATTGTGTTTTTATATAGGAAATATGTAAAATTAATTGTTTCCTTAATCCGT